GTCAGCCTTGGCATTGATTTTATTAACGAAAACTCTGAAGCATTTTTCCTTGCTCAGCGATCTTGTTGGAAGGAGTAACACTCTATGACAGGGCAGACTGTCGCTTGCAGTTTTTGTATTGGTGTTTACTTATCCACCTGCACCAAGCTGCCTTAAGGAACGTGACTAAATCCAATCCCAGTGGATGTGGGTTCACATCCTGATCTTTGGGCTCTCTCCCTCATTCTGACCCTTTTTCTTCCACACTGAAGAGCTTGCCTATAAAAGGCTCTTGATAAGCTCTCTTGACCCCTGAGTTTCCTGGGCAGCGTTATTTGGATAGTGCTATTACTTCAACTTTCTTCTTCCGATTTCTGTCATAAATCAAAGCCACCTGACACTTTGTTCCTGACTTTTAAAATGAACAGGTCTCCTTTCTTTCTTTAGCCAGGTCAGAAGAAATGCCAGTGCACTAATCTGGTGTGTTTTTCTTGGTCTGGTGCCTGGGAGAAATGGCAAAGTAGGTATCTCTAAGGCAACCAGGGTAAGAGATTGTCATTGGAAAGTGAGTCGGCCTGGGTGTAAAAAGAATCATTCTTTTGTGTCCCCTCAGTCAGGGGAGCAGAGGTGTTTGTCAGACTCAGCAGCTGTGCATTAGGTGGGGGTAAGTAAGTTAATGGGTGGACTTGTCCCTCTTTTCTCCTTCCATTTCCTTTGTAGCTTCTGGCCACTTCAGTTTGTGTTGGGTTAGCAGCCCTTCCTTCCCATTGAAGACTGCACCCTGATTCACAACTCACTCACACCCCCAAAATGAAGAGAGCTTCAAACACAGCCCCAGTAGGAGCTTTGGCATCAAACGAAGCAGGTGTGACAGGGAATGGAAATGTGCACTGTGGGACAATTCAGGAAGCTGAGAAAAAAGATACATGAAGAGTACAAGCATCAAGTCAACTATTTCAGATCCATTCCTTTTGGGAATACTTGTTAATATTTCATTATGGGGTATCCACGACCCATGGAAACTCTGCTAGCTGTTCTTCTTGCCCTTCAAGATAGACCAGTGGCTAGAATGAGAGTCTCAGTACTCTTCCCTGAGATGAGATGCCTGAGATGAACAACTGTCCTCAGTCAATGAAGAGCCAGAAACAAAGCCAACAATGTATGCTTCTCCCTTTTATTGGGTGGGAGGGGGGACTTTGTTTTCAATCTCTCCATCACTGTCGTATTTGCCAATTTAAGCACTTGCATAAAGAAAGTATTTAATGGACATGATGGGGAATGCCGCCTTTTGACTTAACCCGATAAACACCTTTATTTGCTAAGTTATTATTTCAGGCTCTGCTTAACTATAACCACAGTTTCCCTGTTCACAATTTTTATGGATCCCGGGAGATGAAGGCTACATTTCAAATGCTGAGGCTAAATCACTCCTTGAATTACGTTGGGACAATGACCCTGGGCAATAATTCAAACCCTGGCTGAAATGTGTGCAGTTTTTTTCACATGTTCAAAACTAAAGACAACCTTATTAACCTAGAGCACAGTTTTGCAAACAGTCTATTCAACTTACGGTCTAAGACACAAATCCCTAGGAAGAAGAATATAATAGAAAGTTCTCTTCCTTATGGTTCAAAAACTAAGATAAAGGGTCATTGTTGTAACAAATGGAGATTATAGGCTATAGCTTTATTTTAAAAACATTCCACCTGAAAGCCTGTAATATATATGTCCACATGCATTTTCAGATGTTGGTTACCTACACTCACTTTTTTTTCATTATTCACTGCTTCTTGACAAGTTATTACTGATTTTCACTGCCAGCTCCCTACAGCAAGACCTGAAGCCTTGTCAAGGAAAAGAAAATGTCAACACAGTTCTCAGTCTTGCTCTGCTGAAACCCAGGCTCACGTTTTAGGATATTAATCTGTGAGTGTCAAAGAAACAGTATCTCCTTTCTCCAAAGCACAGGCCCTATATGCTGTACTGATCCGGAAAATGTTGTCACACATATGCATGTGTGTGGGAGACGGGAGAAGGTATTGCTGGTCAAGAAGCCGGGAATATTCTGCCTAGAGACAAGAGAGACGCTTCCAGCGACATCCCCCTGTTGTTACAAAGCCCATTCTGATCAGCAACGTAGTGCTAATCCAGGCAGCCAAGCAGAAATGGTCGGTATGTTCTGCTCTCTTCTCCTCCCTTTTCACTGTGCACTTTCCAGAGCCACCCTTGCTTGCCTATGCCGACGTGGAGCTGAACTCAGGACCAAGTGCTCCGAGTGGTTGGTCTCCTTCTGCAGAGTCAGCAGAGCGGGACATAGACTCAAACAAGAGTCGGCAGTCTGCCCATGTGCAACACTAGACCAGGGCTGAGCCTGGCAGATGCTGCTGCTGGAGCCCAATCCAGAGGCAGGCGCTGTAGTGCTGACTATGACCTGCCAGGCTGTGTGTCACTTACCATGTGGCAGAGTGACAAGTCCCATGTGGCATTTCCACTGAGCTGACAGCCAGGGTATGTAACTTTGTCCGGTCCACCCTGCTCCCTGGGGAGGGGTTGTGTACGACACTGACCTCAATTTAAAGACAGGACAAATGTCACAGCCCCTGAGTCAGCCCTGTCTAAATATTCTACATCATACATAGTGACAGCTGCTCCTCCTAGAAACCCGATTTAGTCATTTGGCTACAAGATAGCTTAATTGCATGGGAGAATAAATAGGAAGGCATCATATGTATTATTTTCTTGCGTGTGCGTATTTCATTACTCCAAAAACTATTTAGAATACTTCTCAAGAAAATTGGAAAATATAATTAAATGCCAAAAATTTGAACTGTATTTTAACGTAAAAAATAAAATAAAAAACAGAAAGCCCAAAACAAACACACATACACACTAAAATTCACAAATCTGATGCAGAAGGCTTCAAGTTCAAGAAAGAGCTAAATGTTTGACAAACAACTGAGTTTGAATTCTCTTTTTCCAAATAGGTTTAGTTCCAAATGAAACCAAGTAGTCAAGATGTCTAATGCACATTCAATTCTCATTTTCAATCCTCCTCTGTATTTAGACCATCATCTTTCTAGGTGTTCAATGAAGACACACCTTGGTTTGTGTTAGTTATTAGATATTTTTTCCTGTAATTTCAGCATGATAGTCCTTCAGTGATTCATCTTGCTGGGTGCTATAGCATTTAAATGTTTCATCACCTTGGAGAAGAAAACGTGGCAATTTTCTGAGCCATACCTGTTAACTGCTTTGTCCTGCTCCCCCACAAGCCCTGAATCCTACTCACCTCTTAAGTGAGTGATTAGTTTTCTTTTCTTTTTTAAATTATATTCTATTGAGTATGTGATTACAGTTGTCCTGATTTTTCTCCCTTTACTCCCCCTTCCACTCTGTACTCCTCACTCCCTCAGGCCATGCCCCACCATTGTTCATGTCCATGGGCCATGCATATAAATTCTTTGGCTACTCCATTTCCTATACTGTACTTTACATCCCCAAGGCTATTCTGTAACTACCTATTTGTACTTCTCAATCCCCTCACCTCTTCACCCATTTCCCTACACCTCCCTCCTATCTGGCAACCATCAAAATGCTCTCCGTATACATGATTCTGTCTCTGTTCTTGTTTCCTTCTTTTTTTTTAGATTCAATTGTTGCTAGATTTATAATTTTTTTGCCATTTTATTTTCATAGTTTTGATCTTCTTTTTCTTACATAAGTCCCTTTAACATTGCATATAATAATGGTTGGGTGATGATGAACCTTTTATTTTTTTCTTGTCTAGGAAGGTCTTTATATGCCCTTTGATTCTAAATGATAGCTTTGCTGGGTAGAGCAATCTTGGCTGTATGTCCCTGCTTTTCATGACTTTTGAATATTCTTGCCAGTCCTTCTAGCCTGCAATGATTCTTTTGAGAAATCAGCTGACAGTTTTATGGGAACTCCCCTGCAGGTAGCTAGCTGCTTTTCTTTTGCTGCTTTTAAGATTCTTTCTTTATCTTCAACCTTTGGCATTTTAATTATGATATGTCTTGAAGTGGTCCTCTTTGCATCCATCTTGTTTGGGACTCTGTGTTTCCTAGATTTGCATGTGTATTTCCTTCACCAAGTTAGGGAAGTTTTCTTTCATTATTTTTTCAGATAGATTTTCAATTTTTTGCTCTTTATTTTCTCCTTCTGGCACCCCTATGATGCAAATGTTGGAATGCTTGAAGTTATCCCAGAGGCTGTTTATACTATCCTTGTTTTTTTGGATTCTTTTGTATTCCTTTTGTTCTGATTGGTCATTTCTTGCTTCCTTATGTTCCAAATCAGTGATTTGATTCTAGGTTTCATCCATTCTACTGTTGTTTCCCTGTAAATTGTTCTTTATTTTAATTAGTCAATCCTTTGTTTCTGAGTGGATCTTTTCTAAGCTGTTGAGGTCCTCATTAAGTTCCTTGAGCATCCTTATAAGCAATGTTTTGAACTCTGCATCTGATAGATTGCTTATTTCCATTTCATGGAGCTCTTTTTCTGGAGTTTTGATCTGTTCTTTCATATGGGCCACGATTCTTTGTCTCCTCATTTTGGCAGCCTTTTTGTGTTTGTTTCTATATATTAGGTAGAGCTGCTATGACTCCCTGTGTTGGTTGAGTGGCCTAATGTAGTAAGTGTCCTACAGGGTCCAGTGTCACAGCCTCCCCTCTCACCAAGCTGAGTATTCAATGTGCACCCCACATGTGAGCTGAGTACATCCTCCTCTTGTAATTGAGCCTTGGTTGCTGTTGGCAGGTCAATGGGAGGGGTTAACCCAGGCCAATCAGCTGCAAGGATTAGCTGTGACCACTGACCACCAACCTCTGCCCTCAGTGGAGGATCAGCTGTGCAGGGGCAGGATGGTGGTGCTCTGATGTTGTCTGTAGCTGTCCACTGGGTGCACTGGCCCTGGGGTTTCCTGGGTGGTGCAGGCTAAGGTCAGCTCCCATCTATGTTTTGCCTGGGGCCACCCTTCCTGAGATACAAAGCAATCTGTGATAGCTGCTACTTGTGCTGAACTTGGAGATTCCCAGGTAAAGCCAAGCTGTAAATCTAGGTTGACTGCTGCTAATGCTGGACCTAGGGCTCACTGAAGCCAGCTGTTGCTTGTTTGAGAGGACTCAGGAAGTTGTTAAGCATGAGCCAAGACCAGCCATTCATATGGAAAAGCAGCTTGGGTAGGCCTGTAAGTTGGGTGGGGCCATAAGTTGGGTGTGGCAGAGTCTCTGGGGATCTCCAAGGTGGGTCAAGTAGTATTAGCCAGGTTGATGAAGTCTCAAATATGATACCAGCTTACTGGCTCAGTCTGGATGGATGTGGTTTGTTTAATTCCATAGTTGTCAGAATTCCATTCAACTCAATTTCTGATGGTTCTGAGTGATGGTTGTTCTATATTTTAGTTGTAATTTTGATGTGGTTGTGTGAAGAAGTGAGCCATGTCTGTCTACACTGCCATCTTGAACGGAAGTCAGGGATTAGTTTTCTTAGTCAATGCAAATCATACTCTAAATTATTTCAATGCCTGTTAAGCTGCAGATGTTCTAAAAATAAAGGGCTAGGAGGCAAAGTGCACTATTGTTCTGTTTCCTAATTTAGCACAGCCATTCCCAGAGGAGCTGTGCCACTGTAACCAGCAACAGCTGCCCAGAAGTATTTATGTTAAGCCATCCAAAAATCTGGTTTGGCAACCAAAGCGGAGAGGAGAGAACGTGCCTCCAGGCTGGTCGTTTATTAAGGGCTCCAGGTGCTCACATTGCTGCCCGAAGGCATTGAGGTTCTGTCCAAATTTAGAACAAGGGGCTCTGCAGTTCGGAAAGTCAATTATGTCCCTTCCTCATTTTACACTCAGGATAGTTCCTACTGTGAGCAGTGCCTGTACCTAACACTGATTGAATAAGGAAGGAAACCTGTTGATATAAAAAAAGGGTGTTCAAATATTTTGAATTTGTTGCAATTAAAACTGCCTGTCAACATCCTGATTAACCTTCTGGACACATTAGGCTGATCAGGACAATTGTCTGGGCTTCAGGGCTTGATTTCAGAGTTTCCACTCAGATTCAGTGGGAAATGTCTCCTAAGTCCTCCTCCCTGTGTCTGTGTCCTTGGTTTGCGCTTCCTCCTTCTGCAGTCATCCTCCTTCCCCACACCCGGAGGCCCTCACTCTCTCATCTGGGTTTGCACATCCTTTCTGGTTCTAGAACTACAGAGTAACAGGTGTGTTCCTTTGCTGGGGAGACGTGCTCTAAATTCATTCATTTTCCAATGGCGAAAATCCAAAATGTGTCCTCAATTCCCAAGAAGACAAGTGTGGGTTCAAAGTTATGTGCATGCCAGGGGTCCAGTGGTCTAGAAGCTGGGAAGTGATACTGAGAGCTGGACCAGAGCAGGTCTCCCCCACCACCCTGACCCACAGCCTTCCTTCACCACAAAGAGGCAGATAAACATTTAGAATATGTGCAGGAAAGGGTGGTGGGAGAAGGGATTTCTTGCATATGTATCTGGATCTGTGGTAGAAAGAGTGTGGACTTGGACTGGTGCCCACCAGCGGCCATGCACTGAGTGGGTGGCCAGCCATGCATGTCTGGGATGAGGAACTTGGGTGAATGGGAGGGCTGGGCTGGAAGGCACCTAGGAAGGTACAGGAGATGCTGTTGGACATTGATGGTTTGCCTCACTGGGAGTGTGGCGAAGGGATTCAACTCGACATTCTCAGGTTTCCCCCCCAGATACACATATTTGTGATTTCATTGCAATCAAGAAGTTTATGCCAATTTCATACAAACAAAAGAGAAAACAAAGCAAGACAGCAACTTGCCTAAAGTGAAGTTTACATGCTGCCCCGTGGACTTCAATCTGTGAGGTAACGAAACAGGAAACAAGGGTGTCCTGGCTCCCTGTCACAAGGTGGGTTTCTCACGCAACATGAAACTCTTTTATCTTTGCTCCCAGAACAACTTGTACTGATGTTTAAATATCAGTGTAACATAATGTTTTTAATTTCACACTTCACAGAGCACAGTTGAACGCTTCATAACAAGGTAAACAAAGGTTAGGCCAAGCACTGCAGACAAATTGGGAGGGAGAAATGGCTTCCTCCGTGGTACATACCCCAGGTTTGTGCGGGAATAGATAACTAACAAACTGGTTGGCTAAGGCCACAGAAATGTGTTTCCCCGTGTTTTGGCTGCTGACACCAGTCTCTTCTGACAAAGACACACGTTCACAATGGGCGCAATAAATCGCATCTCCTTCCTAGCATCAATCAGGATAATGCAACTCTTATTTTTCACTCGATTTCTTTTTAGTGGTGTCATAAGCACGAACAATTTCTTCCTGAGTGACAGCTCCATGCTCTTCTTGAGAGAAGGCGTACCCATCTGAAAGAAGCACAGAGGAGGACGTGGTTAAGAACAGAATTAGGGGAGTGCACTAGGTTTGGAAGAAGCTGTTTTGGGGGAGCCTGTGTCTGAACTTCCACACATCAGCCTCATCAGCACTGGGCCGGTGGAGGCCTGAGATGGGAAGCCTGTGACCCAGCCAGGGAGCATGGACAGGGTGGGTGTGATGGCAGGACATAGCTCGGTGGGTCCCAGGGGTTCTGGCTGCTGATGCTGGGATGGGAATGGCTCTGAGGGGTGGCCTCTCACTTAGGGGGCTGTAGCTGACTTCAGCCTGGGAAGCATAAACAGTGGGTCACTGGTCCATGTCTGCACTTTCCCACCACCAATCAAGTTGTTCTGCTCCGGAAATGTCCCAATGTGCCTGAAGCTGCAGGCCAGCTGGGTAATTTATGAAGCTGTAAACATGCTGGGAAAAACATGCACATGCTAGTAGTGAAAGATGGCAAAGGGCACGTGACGCTTGGAGAGTTCCTGTTTTCAAACTGGGCTGATTTGGGCTGGTAGTAAGAAATTACTGTGGGTTAATTTTTGTGTAAACAAAGAAGATCACAACATAAAATCAAGAGGAATTCAGTGGTTGGCCCTGTGGCCACAAGAAAACTGGTTCTTACAACCAGTTGCAGTAGTAGTAGTAGTAATAGTAACAGCCAATGATTATTAAATGCTGTGTGTATCAGGTACTGTCCTATGTACTGTGCACAAATGCCTCATTTATTCCCCTCAACAGCCCTATGAGATAGGTGCTAGTATATTGCCCATTTAACAGATGGGAAAACTGAGGCACGGGGTGATTTCATGATCTGCCCAAGGTCCCAGACCTAGTGAGTGGCATAATTTGGAGCCAGACCCAGGCAGTGTTTCTGTAAGGCCCACATTATCCTGCATCACCAGTTCTGGAAAAGGTTTTGCTTCAGGGAGCTCAAAGTGGGGCTTTCCTTCCTAACTGGTTCTTCCCACAGAAGGGACACTCACCTGACTCCCTCTCTATTGGCTAAGCCCCCTGGATGAGGCATTCTGACCAAAGACAACACAGTGAAAAGGCTGGGAGTGGTGACTCTGCCTGTGCATACTTGTGACTAATTGAGAGCTGCTAGTTAACAGTCATAGTCTTTAAAGGAGAAAAATAAATCAGAAATTCTGCCCATGTATCATCTCCTGGACTGTTAATTATTTGACTCAGACCTCTGACTTAAAAAGAAGAGTCTCTGGAGGATAAAGACATACAATAACAGTGTGTAAGAGTCTTTGAGGGGATGGAGGAGAAAATTCAGAAGAGTGTCAGGTCACTTCTCACTCTGTGGATGCCTGTAAACTCAGAGCTCCCGTCCCTGGGCTGGCTTCCCAGTCCTTCTGGAGAACATGCCTTTCAGCCTCCTGAGAAAACCCACGGGCTCCGAAGGGCCACCCAGGAGGCCAGAGCTGGTCTCCAGAGGTGGGCTGGGGCCAACTGAGGACATGGCTGAGCAGTGGGGGGTGCGAGGTGGAGGGGCGTTGTATGAAGGCAGAATGAGCCAGCCAGCCTGACCCAGAACCAAGAGTAATCTTCCACAAGGGGCTCTTGTCTGCTCAATAACTACATTGCTATAGGAATCAAACCCACAAACCCCAAAATCCCACCCTGCATGGTAGCCAGGGAAGGCAGCCACCCCCAGACCATTGTGAGCCCCACCTAGCTGGGCACTGAGCAGGCATGTCTGGAGCAGAAAGGCAGAAGCAAGCCTGGAGAGGGGGCTGCAGGCTCATCTGGGCCCTGGGCCCAGCACACTTGAACTTCCTCATGATGGATTTCCACGCAAGGAAGCTTTGCTTTCAGTCTCATTGCCTTAGAGGCCACACAGAATCTGAAGAAGAAACACTCCTCCGATCCTGTTTCCCTGATAGCTGTAGATTCTTCAGAGTTGTTTGATCCAAGATGAACAGGTCCAAGGAATCCTCCATGATGCCTGGCTCGGAGGGGTGGCTCCTCTCCTGCCCCCTCCCTTCCCCTTGCTGACCCCTCCCTCCGGGTGCCGGGCTGCCAGCCTGTCCCAGCACAAGTGCGCTAATATAAAAAAGACTCAGTCACAAACTAAGAGAGAGCCTTTCTTATTTTGTTTCAAGAAAATTAGGCAAATAATCATCAAATCTGGCAAGACAGACTTGAACTGGGACATCTTAAATGTCTGCCTAAACAAACAGACAGGCATTTGAAATTTCATGAATGCTTCCAACTCTTAGCTTAGAGAGACACCAAGAACCACAAACTATAAGATGATGTTACGCTTGAGAGAAACCAAGCTTGTTCAGATAAAGGAATAGATAATGGGTGGTTTAGACGAAATGCTTTTCCTTGGGTAATATCTTATCTCCATCTGGGGTTCAAGCCCAACCTGTCCCTTCCACCTCTCCTCCTCCTGTCAACACACGGTCTTCACACCGATCCGGTGTCATGTGAGGCAAACAACACGCCACAATGCCCAGCCCATCCCCACATAACGCGCTGCAAGATTTCATGTTTGGAAGTCTTCTAGTAACTTGAAACTTTTCAGCAATAAAACAACAAAAAACAAAGCCTGGACTGTAAAAAGAAAACATTCATTTTTCAGTTTGTCTTCCAGCTCCTGAAACCCCAACAATTTGAAAGCACAGTAGTATTTTGCTTGTGCCTGTAAAGGTCAAGAATCTTACATTAGCGGCCACAGCAGCGAGTCTTTCGCCTATGCCATGAAAGCGCAAAAAGGCAACCTGTCTCGGGCCAAATGTCCGGTAATAGAACACTGTTTGCTCTTTTCGATGGTTTTACAGCGGGCAGTGAGTGGTGGTGAAAGAGTGGCAATGTTTTCTCCAAATATTCAATAAAGCATTGTTTCAGTGTCCTTTTGGGAAAGGCATTTTAGCATTTGGAGTTGTCCATTCCCTTTTATTTATTCTGTCTTTCATTCCTATCTGCCTGTGCCTATCAGGAAACCAGCTACAGTGGTTTCTTCTGCTTATAGCGGGATGGCACCCTCAGCTTCTATCTGCCTCGCCGGCACGGGGCCTTCTGGTGGGACCACTCAGCCACTCACTCTCCAGCAGCAGAGACGGCAGAGAGAGGCTCCTGGTCCAACAGTGAATCTCTTGCCTCAGGGCAAGCAGAGCACCTAAAGGTCACTGCCAAGTTGATTCTCTGCCAGTTCCCATGTGTTGTATCTGCCATTATGTTTCCAAAATGTTATATACTGGGACTTTCTGAACCTCAACTGAGAATGAAAGCGGACTTTGTAATTCAAGAATAAAAGGATGGCCCGATAGCATTACCCTAGGGGTGCAGGTACGTCCCTGGCCCACATAAAATATCCTGGTGGGGGTTAGAGTGGTAACGGAAGATGTTTCAGTGGCACAATAGCATTTGTGAGCCCCGAGTGGGGCCTGCACCCTCCAGCCAGTCAAAGACACAGCATCAGTTCACCAGCTTCTGCCTGATGAATGTTTAACTGCCACTGCTATCCAAACAGGGGGCTCACAGAGGAAACTTCTGGCTCTTAGCATTTCCCACTTCCACTCATCTTTCAGGAAGTCCTGACGGCCACAAAGTACTGATGGGGCCTGGAGAAAGCACTCAGCTTGAATTCTCCCTGGCTGGCCTTCTAACGAGCCTGCCTCCTAAGTCCTCAGCCACAGCCAGAATCTGGGGACAAAATGGGGTAGGCGAAAGGAGATGAAGGGGTAGGTGCATTTCTTAGTTATTTTGACTAGTCCTGGTAGAACATTTGGTGATGTCTATAGAATCATGTCATTCTCCCCCCACCCCGCCCAATTATTATGGAATAAAACTCCCTTTAAGTAGTATTCTTTTGAATCTGAGCTCTCTAAACATCTTAATGAAAGTGGCCATTTCCTGTCTGGAAAAATATTCCTAACAGAGAAGAAATGGGAATACCACGGGATGACCAGGGCATTAGACTATGTAGGGCACTCTGACCTCCCTTACACGTACCATGTTGGTGTTCATAAGAAACTAAAAGCACTTCCAAGACTGGAGTATTTTTCCAGTTTTCTGGGAAGGCTGAGGCCCACAACAGCTGAAGGACAGGCCCAGCAGGACGTCGGGGCCCAGAGCCTCCTTGAGGGACTTCTCCCACACCAGGAGCAGTTCGAGCTGCTCGATGAGCTGTCTTCTCTAGTTGCTCATGACGGGGACAGTCTGTTATCAGCTGCGTTTCTACTACCCATTTCTGGGTGTTTTTAAAATGTAGTATGATTTTAGAAGCTTTTTGGTTTCTTGTACTTGTTCATTAGAATTTTTTTGTCCTTCAAAATGTTGTGATTTAAGCAAAATGTTTAGTCGTCATTTTAGGACTTTGTACATCTCTCCCACTTGGTCTTTGATCTACACCGTCGACTCTTGAATGACATAGGTTCGAACCATGTGGGTCCATTTATGTGTAAGTTTTTCAATAAGTACTGTAAATGCATTTTCTCTTCTTTATGACTTTGTTAATACTATTTTCTTTTCTCTAGTTTACTTTGTCTAAGACTACAGCATCTAATACATAGAACATATAAAATATGTGCTAATCAACTGTTTATGCTACCACTAAGGCTTCTGGTCAACAATAGGCTATAAGTTTTGGGGGAGCCAAAAGATACACATGGATTTTCAACTGGGGTCAGCGCCCCTAATGCCTTCCTTGGTCAAGGTCAACTGCACACACAACGCCTTGCGCATGTTCCTCCTGCGGTGACTCTGAGACACGCATTGGAGGAGAGGTATGGCTCCCCAGCATGAAGGGGTAGTTTAGAAACCAGTGTGCGTTTTCTTAGAGTCTGGTATGTACATCATCGTGAAGCCTCGCCTGGACTAAGGGAGCTTATTATTATTATAATTCCCCTTTGCCCCCAGAGGATAAAATAAAAATTTAGAGAAATATGTAAGTTATCCAAAGTGACTCAACAATTGGCAGAAAAAATATATAGTTAATACCTAACATTTATTGGACTCTGCATTGTCAGGCATTATTCTAGGCTCTTTACGATCTCACTTAATCCTCCCAACAACTCCAAGTGAGTTCTGATATCATCTCCATTGTACAAACGTGGGAACAGAGAGGTTAACTTGCCTAAGATCACAAAAAGGTGGCAGGCCAGGGCAGGGGGCCGGGCAGCTCAGCCCCAGAGGCTGGCCTCCCACCCCTCACTCCTCGGTCTTCCCCAGCAGGCCTCCTGACTTGACCTGTCTCTCAGATCAGAAACACCGCAACTGTGATCCTGATTGCTGGGCCACGCTGGGCCAGTTACCGTACTGACCTGAGCCTCTGCCAGGTGCTCTTGAGGCTGACACCACCCACCTCCAGGGGCCATGGAGCGTTAAAGGACAAACCCAGCAGGTGAGGCCCCACGTGCAGGTGGCCTCAGTCCCCTTTCTCTCCTGTTGCTGTTCCAGTGGGTAAGGGAGGAGAGGAAGTGGATTACTGAGAGGGATACTATCCCACCCCTTTCCCTTTCTCTCCATTCAGAAAGTCTGCAAAGATCTGCTGATAGGTGGAGCTCAATTAAACTTGAGATAGGTCCTTGAATACCCTATGTCCTATGGTACAATGATTATTTTCTCTAAACTGTTCTTGGTCTACCAGTTGTTTCTTTCTCACCTCCTCGGGGATAGAAAGGGAAGCAGGAATGGGGGCAAGGGCTGAAGAGATGACGTGTGCATGTGTAAGAGAGGGAGGGTGGGCTGGAGAGGGAGGTGGGGTTCAGGGAGGCAGGGGCCGATGGGCCTACAGGCCCTGGCATGAATTGAACTTGCCCTTCTAATGACACCCCTCAGCTGGGAGCTGAATGGGTGGATTGCTCAAGTAAGCCCCCGGCATCCTCCATGAGTGCCAGCACCCCATCTGCCTTTCATGGCCTCCCTTCCCTGCTCCTCTGGGTTCTGGTGCATCCCCAGACCCCCTGCTCAGGTCAGGCGCCCTCAGCAGAAACCAGGCTGGGGCTTTAGCGTTCAGAGTGGGGACACTGGTGCTAGACACTCGGCAGCCTTCCTGAGAAAAGTACAGAGATTTTTTTTTAACCAGTGATTGGCATTGTTTTAATTAATATACTAATATTAAATAAAACCCTGCATGTTGCTCTCTTTGGGGAAACAATTTAAAAGCAATATCACTTCAACCTTAGGAAAAATGCTATTGGGAGGCTGACAGAGGATCTTAACCACATCAGGATTTTAAGTTTAAGGATTTTGTCATTCAGGCATTTGATTGGGTCCCAAGGAACTACCCTTAGTTGAGCTGTACTTGCCTCAGGCCAAACACACGCATTTCCCTTCCAAACGTGGGGCTCCAGCTTGGCAGCTGTCTCCATCCCCATTAACAACATCCAGGCCTTCATTAAGCTGCCTGTGCCCCTGCGTGGGCCGGGTCTCGCAGCCTGAGTGGGCTGGCGTGACTACTTACGTGGAACACACTGCTGGAGGGAACTCCCGCGGAAGAGAGTGGGGGGCGTCTTCCTGCTGAGCCTCTTTAACAAGCGGTCCCGCTCATTCATCCTGCAGGTAAATCAAATGAGGTCAGTCTCTAACTCACAAGGACACGTCTCAAAGGTACTTGCTGCATGATTTCAGGTTGTAAAATAAAACAGACAGGGAGAAAAAGCTTCCTTCCCCACGTCAAGAAAAATCTCCAGTTTCGCAAGCCGGCCCACTGTTGACTGTAGATGCTATCTTGACACTTGGAGGGCATGGCTCTCGCTTCTAAAAGGCGCTCTGTGTTCAGCCCGTCCTGTACACAACGCCTCTGAACTCTGCCTTCCTCTTAATGGAAGTGCACTACAAGTGCCCTTTCATACCAGGCAAATCCTTGGCTTCCCAGAACACTTTTGAAGGAGTGATCTGTTTCTGTGGTAAATGTCTTAAAAGCCTCAACCCCACCTGCAGCCGCCTTTCCTCAAGCCAGTAACCAGTACTAGGGCCGGAGCCTCGCCCAGGTGCCTCAGGACCCCAGCGAGAGCCAGGCTTCTCTCCACAGAACCCGATGTTTGTTCTGAACCACAATAAAAATCAAGGTGAGTTTTCTTTGAAAACACGAGGATTAGGAGCTCTTCCTGCCTCTCCTGAAATTATTTCCTCCCAGGTTGCCACAGCTGTGAACAGATATGGAGCTACCCTGGAGGACAGCTGTCTTCATTCCTATACACTGCAGTGCGTGCTTGAAAATTGTCCGGGTGGACAAAGCGCTTTGATTTCTTGCCATCAGGATGCCCCTCTGCTTGCTCCCAGACAGACTTCTGGTGTACAGGAGTCTGCCAGTGCCCTCCGTCACAGAGTGAGCTGTGTCCCTCCCATCCACATTCATGTATTCAAGTCCCAACTCCCATACCACAGAATGTGACTGTGTATCAAAAGACAGGATCTTTAAAGAGGCGATTGCATTAAAATGAGGTCATTAGGATAGGCCCGAATCCAGTATGACTGGTGTCCTCACGAGGAAAGGGGACCGGGATGCAGACACACGCAGAGAATGAGCATGTGAAGACAATGAAAAAGACGGACATCTACAAGCTAAGGAGAAAGGTCTCAGGAGGAACCAGCCCTGACGACACCTTGATCTTGGGCTTATAGTCTCCAGAACCATGAGACAATAACTTTCTTTTCTGTAAGCAACCCCAGTCTGTGGTATGTTAATGGCAGCAAATACACCCCACAATCTGCCGTTTGTGGGCACTTGAGGGTTGTTTAAGGAGCTGCAGTTGCTTGGGATCCAAAGCACCTCCCCCCACTCCCTGGCCACAGTCTATTTCACGACTCCCCCAAGGTCCTTTGAAAGAGGAGCAGGACCCTGGGTATTCTCAACAGTTCCATGAGCTAAAGCTCATTTCATGCTTGGGTTTCCAGAAGACAGCACTTTCTGGTTCTCCTGGTTGAAAGGACAATGTTTGCTGTATCACCAATTAAGGCGGAGCCTGAGCTGGCTGAGCTGGGCGAAGCTCTGATGGCTTATGAGATAAACCACTTTTGCTGTCCCTCATGCTGTCTTCCCTTCCCTCTCATGTCTTCCCCCCAACCCCCTTCCCAGGCAAATCGATCTCACCAGGCCCTGCTGAGCAACTGCCCTGGACTGCGGGGCTGAGCAGATGAATGGGGGTGGGGTGGGCTGTGAGTATGAAGTCCCTCTGTGTGGCCGCTGTTGCCTGACCACCAGCAACATCCTATGATGGCTGGCATCAGGACTTCGGGAACACCCCAATGGGCCAGCCTTCCTGTCTGACCCTGGAAGGCACTGTGTACAGAACTGCTCTCCAAGGGCCGGACTGCAGGTTTCTGGGGCACCCTTCCCAGCCTTCCTGGTTGACACAGCACTGTCTTCCCAGAAACCTAGGGGACAGATGTGGGGCTAGGCTCTGCCACCAGGCCCTTCCTCTGCCCTGGCCATCCCTGGTCCCCCCAACATTTCAGGCCCAGGGGCTCCTCCTAGTGATGGGGCTTCTGAGACTTCACAGAACCACGTTAGTGGGAGGTGCCTTTGAAATCCCACGTCTCGCGCTCTCACTGGGCAGGTGAGGAAACAGACAGTCATTTTGAAGCAAAAGGTCAGAGAGCACTTTGCTGGCAATGCTCTTGCCCCTGCCTCTACGCTAGACAAACATTCCTAATTCCCTCATGGAATGGTGTATGCTTTTCTGTCTCCTTTTATTTTTTTAATAAGAAAATATTCCAAACACACAGAAACAGTCAGAAACCAGTACAGTGAATGTGCACTACCCACTTGGCTTTAGCAAATGACATCACAACCCTTAGGCCCCATGCTTCAGAGGGACCCTCTCTATCTATCCTGCAGCCCAACTCCCTTGTGGTGAGGGGTCCATGGGGCCAAGTGGACTGGTCTACCCAGAGCCCATGCCTGTCTCCCAACCCCAGGTATTTAGGACCCTGGAAGTCCCTGCTCAATGACCTCCAAACTGGCATCCACGGCTAACCTGACCTCTGCTAGCTCCATTCTCCTAAAAGTAGGTCTTATAGCCAGTGTGCACACTCCTAGGCCTATGTAAGGGGCCCCGGGAGTGGTTTCCTGCATTAGATGTATGGACTGAGATGTCCCCATGTGTGTGCACACGCCCCTGCCCAGTGCAGGACAGAGCTGGGATTGATGAGGGAGGGTGAAATGCACAAGACAGCTAGCTCTTCCTCGTGTCACCACTTTCTGGCTCAGACCTTCAAAGAATCTGGGACTCAGCAAGCACTGCCATCTTTATGAGGATATATTCATCAAGGTGCACAGGTACCTGTGGTTAATTTATAACTTGCACATACTTAGATGTGGTGTTTGCTCTCCGTTGGCACACCAAGCCCTGCAAATGGCAGGGGTGGGCCTGGCTGGGAGAGCTACTTCGGATTATTATTATTTTTTATTGATTGATTTGAGAGATAAAAGGAGAGGGAGAGGGGGGAAGAGAGAGAGAGAAAGAGAGAGAGAGAGACATTGATTTGTTGTTGTTCCACTTACTTGTACATTCATTGGGTGATTCTTGGATGTGTTCTGACCAGGGATTGCACTTGCAACCCTGGCATATCAGAACAATGTTCTAACCAACTGAGCTACCAGGGCAGAATTACTTCAGATTTTAACAAAATAATGAAATATCAAATATAAAGTCCCCTTAAACTCCCTTCTGATTGCATTCTTCTCTCTTCTGCTATAATAAAGTTAGGAATCATCATTTGTTCATATTTCACACTTTTGTTCTATATAAATGTATATGAATTCACATTAGTAAATAATTATGTTTTAAAATATATCTAAGTGGAATCACTTAGTTTATGCTCCCAGTTTATCATACTTTTGCTTTGCTCCTTCCTTTCTCCTCCCTTGTTTACTTTGTATTGTCTACGCTGGTAGAGGACATGTTAATCTGTCTTCTGGACACTTTTATAATTCTCTTTGGCTTTAGTATTGTACAGTTTCATTACAACACTTAGCATGACTACGTGCAGGTTTGTTTTTATATTTTGCTCGTCAGTCATTCAGAAAATGCAAATCAAAGAGATAGCATTTAACATCTACTAGGATGGCTATAATAAAAAAGAAACAAAAGCAGAACATAACAAATATTGGGTGGGTATAGAGTAATTGGAATCCTAGCACATTACTGGAGGGGCTGTAAAGGGGTGCAGCCACTGTTCTTCAGTAAGGTCTGCATGGAGTTACTGTGTCAGCCAGAAATTCCATGCCCAGGCATACACCCAAAAGAATTATAAACAGACCCAAAGTGATACTAGCACACTGACATCTGAAGCAGCATTCAGATAGCCAAAAGAGGGACACAACCTAAATGTCTATCAGTAGAAAACAAAATGCGCAGCCATGAGAAGGAGTGAAGTACTGATGTGTGCTACACATGGGTGAGCCTTGAAAACACTGCGCTACATGAGAGAAGCCAAAGCAAACGGGCCATGTGTTGCATGATGCCATTCATATGAGATGTCCAAACTAGGACATCTCATATAAATGTCCTATTAATGTGTATATAAATGTCCATATAAATGCGGAGACAGGAAGAAGAATAGAGGTTGTCAGGGGCTGCCAAGTGGGGTGTGGGGAGGGGAAGGGGAGAGACTGCTTCAAGCACACGCGGTTTCCTGTCGGGGAGATGAGCTGTGTTCTAGGACTAGACAGTGGTGATGGTTCCACAGCACTGTGAGTGTGCTAAATGCCACTGAATCATGCACTACAATAGTAAATTTTATGTATGTGAATGTGAATTTACCACTGTTTTTAAAAAAGAAAGTTCGATTAAAAAATGAAAAGGAGGGGGACAGCATCCTGAATTAAGGTCCACTCCCTCCCCTCACCTGACCTGTGGGCTGGTCTCTCCCGTGGGGGAGGGATGTTAGAGTTGAAGGGCTCTCTTTGAGTTTTTCCCTCTCCTAGCTTCGCAGGTATGCTGACTGGCACCTGCAGACATGAAAGGTGCATGTAAACAAAAATTCCCCAGAGGGTCATGTACAATTGGTGCCTCCCCAGTAGTGATGATGAAACTCAGTCTCACATAAGTCCCCACGCCAGGCTGTGCTTGGGAGCTGATGTGAGGAGGTGGTGTGCCCCCACCCCAAATACTGAGCGGTGTTAAGAAGGAGCAGAGAGTCAAGAAGCCTGTGTTGGGAAATAATAAGCTCTTATGTCCACAGTTTTTTAGGAGGCTGTTCCTGCAAAAACAGCACACGTTTAACGGCCAAAGCGTGGGAGCGTGGAGAATATGGCAGATGACTGCCAATCTGTTTTAAAATCTCGTCAGTAATTACAGCTGGTAAGAATCACAGCTGACACTTCAACAAATCCAAAAACAAACAGGTATTTTTCAAAAATTATTTTAAAATTAATGCTGGACTACCTTTACATTTTAAATGTAAAATGTAAACTTTACATTTGATCCTGGCACTGTCTTTGCATCTCTCCACAATGCTGGGCACTGAGCTTAGACAGACTGACTTCCCCAATAGCAGCCAAGTTAAATTCCTCTGTATTATTTTTTTAAAGCCTCCAGCTTTAAAAT